GTGACCCTGCCTGTTGGAGGCTTTGCTGCTCTTAGCAGTGGTATTACTATTGTTGGTGTTTTTGTTGTTGCCGTCGGAGAGCTTGCGGTCGAGGAATTGTAGCATGTAGTCGAGGCGTTTGGAGGAGGAGTGGAGGGAAACGGCGTCGTTCTCATCTCCCGATGAGGAGGATGAGGAGTCCGGGAACAATTCATTGGGAGTCAGAGTGAAGAGGTCATGGTTTTCGTTTACTTGGATTGGTCTTGGCTGTGGGTTGCTGAGGCTCAGAGACGATAACAGGTCGTCGCTTTCGTCCATGAGGAAATTCTGATTCAGATTGTCTTGGTTTGGTGGACTGTTGGATGTTGGTGGATGTTGGTGGCTGAAGCCTGAAGCCAACCTCCGATATTGGAGCTTGGATACTATCTATGTCTAGTTACGCCAAATAACAAGTAACATCAATCAATCAACTAACAAGAGGAGTGTCCGTCTCCGCCGTGAGAGAAAAATAAGAAAAAAAAGAGAAGTAAGAGGATAGAGTCAATTAACCAGTCGTTAAATTTCAGTTTTAGTATCCCCAATCTGAATCTATATTGAATGTCAAACCAAAGTCGGAAAATAGTTACACTGGGCCTCCTCTCCTCCATCACTTTGACCATCAGCTAAAACTAGAGCTTTGTTTTTTTCTTTTTCTTTTTCTTTTTTTAAGCTTATTAAATATACAAATCATAGAGATTTTATTGAAAGCCCTGCCCATCTATCTATCTAGTAACTGAACTGAACATGTGTGTATGTAATATTCTTCTTGGCTTCTTTTTTGCGAGCAAATTAATAATTGTTATTGTAGAAACCAAACCAATTATCAATTTCAATTGTGTTTCTGCCGAACAGAATAGTAAAAGGCTTACTAGGACTCATATATAGGCTCAGCCCAATTCAATTCAACCCAACCCAACCCAACCCAACCCAACCCAAAGGTGTTGGTCCCGTCCAGTGGGTAGATAATAATTTTTCTATTTCTAAATAATAATAATAATAATAATAAGCAAATTTGGTTGCGTCGCGTTGTGTGGACTTGGACTTTGAAACTGCCGGCTAAGTTTCCATGTGGCAATTCATCCTTCCTTTTGCCTATGTCCTAGTCCACTCTATATATGTTTTGCCTCCTCCTGGATCGCTCTTTCCCCCATAGATCGATCAGTCAATTTGGTAGAGAGAAGATAAGAGATATATAAATATATTATATAAAGAGCCTGACTGATCAGCCTAATTAGCAAAGAGCAAAATACCGCCGGCCATACGTATATGTCTATGATGAACACTATTATTAATGGTGATGGTGGTGGTGCTGCTGCTGCTTCTGCTGCAAGTGCAAGGGGTACTGTTAGCAAGAGAGTCCCCGGGATGCCATTGATCAGTGGACGGAACAAGGACAGAGATCATGAAGATCTTATTCTATTCCGGGAGTTGCACAAACGCCAAAAAGAACGAAATATTCTCAGCCTCCTCCAACCTGTTTCTGATGAGTTTGAGCCCACTGGTATATATGTTCTTATTATTTATTTACCTCTTTTATCATCATACTCTAATAATAATATTATTATTAATTGCTTGCTGCACCTTAATTTTCTAAATACCCTAAATTTATTTCTTCACCTTATACTGACGCAATATATATCTTCAATTGTGTGTTTGATTTATTTACTATAGCTGTTGCTTCTTGATCATATATATCCATCCAACTGCAGGAAATTATCAGCTCTACAGAACTGCAGCTGCCCAGAAAGGATCTGGATTTGAATTTCTTGCTGAAAACGACAAGAACGATTATGATTGGTAAACTGCCCACACGCTTACCCTTGTCTCATCACCTAATTGGTGTCATTCATAGTTCATATTTTTTGGGGGGTAATAAGGGTTTATATATATACATATTTTTTGAGTTAGGTACTTTGTTTTTTATTCTAGTTTCTTAAATAAAGAGATCTTATCAAATTGATTAATTAAAGGGAGAAAGGAGACAATCCAAAGTTTTTAAGTTTTATTTACCAAACAAATGCTAATTATAAACTAGCTAGTTTAGTGAACTATCTAATAGTAGCTAATAATCATTTGTACATGCATCAAGGTTGAAAACACCTCCCGCCACTCCTCTTTTTCCATCTCTAGAAATGGACACAAATGGACCTGAACTCGTCATTCAAAGGGAAATACCAATCCTCCAGCCTCTTTCACGGGTACGTATACTATGTACTTATTTATTGCAGTGTTCTATGGAATTATGGTCATCATACATTATCCTCCGAAAATGGCCCACCTTGTTCCTCGAACCACAATATATATATATATATATATTTATATATTATTGTTAGTTTGCCACCAAAAGTAGATAAACAAGAATGCTCAATATTGCATAAATTAGTTTCTAGTGGCTTTGTTTTGCAGAAAGCAATGGAGAGATAGATATTAGTTCTCTTAACCTGGAATTTTAAAAACAAACAAATTTGAATTCTATAGCCCCGTTTGGTTCATAGGAAATTACAAACAAGATTTGACTAAGAATGCCTAACGGAGGGTGAATAGGTCAATTTAAAATTATAATCAATAAATAAAAATAAACTTCAGTAGAATGATTGATATGGATTATCAATCCTAAAACGTGCAGAGCATAAAATAAAGAAACACGTAGAGAATTATTTTACATGGTAAAATCAATGGGACTCCTTAGTCCAAAACAAATCCACTATAAAACAATGATTACAAGAAGAACTCACACACTTATCCCAGACACATTCTAGATAATGTTTATCAACTTCTTCGTAACTCAACTTCTGTCACGGGATGATCTTTTGACACTCCATATGTTGAATGCAATACTGGTCACGATTGCTTCAAGTTCCCTGGAGTTCTTCCAACTCTCCTTATGTCAATACTGGTCACGATCTATTCAAATTACTCACTGGAGAAAAACACCAAAACGGTCTTGGTGCCATCAACCGTACTGGACATCTAAATGAATGCAATATGAATGATAAAAGCGCTTGATAAATCACCAAGTAAACATAGAACACTTAATTATTTATCTCAAATAAAAACTTAACTTTCCAAAGTTTATGGATTGAAAATATGATCATGAAAGCTCTCAAAAAACAAAGAAGACAAATGTCTTACTTTATAGACTTATTCTTTACAAGAAAGAAAACACGTTGAAACCCAAATCTCCAATTTCTAAGGCTTGATAGAAAATCACGAAAGTATTTTTCCTATTCTAAAGACTGGTCACATGTAGTCCAACCATTATAGGAAAAGAGATATTTAAGAAAGGAAGATTTTAATCAATCACAATATCAAATGAATCCTTATATGTCTAGTCAACTATTAAGGGTCTTTTGACTCCATGATATTGTGATATGATTGAAACATGATTTCCGAGCAACCAAAACGTGATAGAAAATCAAAGGGATGTTAAAACAAGAGAGTAGGAGAATCAAATTGATTTGGGCCAAAATTGCCTAAAAAGAAAACACTCCCAAATAAACTTCAATTCACTTTTAAAAATAGTACATCAATAAAACGTGATTGAATCATCCTTTAAAACAATTCCCTAATATACATGCATGATAATGACATCACTTACCCTTGAATCAACGAGTCAAGTCACAAGTTTGCGTTTTGAGAATTAATCCTGCCATCGTCAATTATGTCCTTAGACTCTATCAAAGCACCTTTACAGCCTATGCTAGAGTTCATGCTAGTGTCTAGGAAATGCCAACACAAATTTCTTACTAACACTCTATCATGGGTTTGTCGACTGGTCACCGGTTTTTCACCGACCAGTGAGGATGTACAGTTTCTTCTCCCTTCAGACTGTATCAGTCATGTAGTACAGAACCTTGTAATCTTGACTATCAACAGAATCCTAGCGGTTACCATTAACATCCGACCGATGGCTCTTATACAAATAATGTTAGTACTTTTTTGTCAATCTTGGGTGTATTATGCTTTTCATTGATTAGTATACCGTAGACGTAGTATATATGGTCCCGTATCCTGAGTCTTATATTATTCATTATTTGCATTAACTAATGAAAGGAACTGAACGAGAGCATTAAACCAGTTTGCAGGTGGCAATTGCAACTCAGAGACAGTTGAGCGAAGAAATGGCCATGGGAGGCCAAAATCTCCACACCCAAAACAGGAAATCCCCGTCATGATCCCAAGCCAAAGACGAAGTAGCAGCAGCAGCACAGTATCATCGAACGTTAACGCCCAAACAAAAAACAGTAGCAAAGCAAGAGCAAGAGCGGTACCAGCAGTAGTTAATCATCATCTCAACCAGAAAGCAGCCGTTGAGTCTGACGGTGACCTCGCAAGATTAAAAAGGTCAGCAAATAATAATAATAATAATAATAATAATATGGTCAATGAAAGTAGTAAGGCCAATAATATCGACCAAAAAGATGGAAGCCGTAGTAGTACTAGTGGTGCAGCTGCTGCAGATTTTGTTTCGTCGAGCAGGGCCATAGAGGAAGGAGTGAAAATGGTATATTCAAAAGCAAAGCCAACAACAGCTAGTAGTACAAGCACTAGAAGAGGTGGAGTCTCCATTGTGTCATCGTCGACTCAAATTGCGGCTGGCATTTGTAACGAAAAACCTCCTCCTAATCTGAGGACAGAACAACGCTCGACATCTGCTAGCACCACACGAGGACGAGGTCGAGCCAGCGCGTCGACGCACCAGATACAGAAAGCAGCTGATCATCATCAACCTGCCGCAAAACTATTACCAAGGAGGCAATCATGCTCACCAAGCGTCTCTAGGGGTCGGAAAGTAGTGGAGGTGCAGGAGGAGGCTACTACTACTAGTCTAAAAGGAAGAATTCAATTTCAAACAGGAAATGGAACGCAAGTTTTGGGAAGTAGAATGGTGCAGAGAGTGATGAATGCTAGAAAATCAGTTACTCGTGAATGTCGTCATGAAGAAAAAGATCATAAAAAGCCCAATTCACGGTTTCCCATTCGTGAAAGCTCTGGTTTTGGAAGAATATTGCACGGCACGGCACTGCCTAATTAATTTAATAGACTACATTATATATATATATATATAGCTCTCAAACATAAGTACGTGTATACGAACATATATATGCTTCTTTCTTTCATTTTTCTGTTGGCAATTGAGTTATAATCCTATTTGTATTTTTTGCTTTATTCAATCTTTTAATTAAAAGATGGAATTGAAGTAACATTGCGACTGAAAGAAGCAGAATCCCAGAGCACCACTTCAAAGCGAGGATGTATTTTGTTTTCTTTGTTCTTTTAGGCAGAAGAAGCGATATGATATTATTCCAAGTGAAAAAGTACAAGGGGTAATGGAAAATTGAAACTCAAATATTGTTTATTTCATTTGCAGAAAGCTCAAAATGATTTAAACATCCATTTTCATTTATTTGTTTTGTTTAAAATTCAAATTGGACCAAGCCATGGCTATTCCAAAGCTCATCATCAACTTTCTAAATTCTAAATGTAGTGAAAAATCCAGTTTCATTTATTTGTTTTGTTTTTCCTCATCATTATTGTTGTTTCGAAATGTTTAACAAAACAGACACAAAATCTAGGATTCAATTGATTGGGTGAGTGATTTAGCCGCATTGAATATTTTCGTTGACCAATATACATGTTTTGAACATTAAAATCTGTGTATAAATTACGGTGATAAAGTGGGTAATTTGAATATCTGCAACTTAAAAAAGAAATAATGATTAATTTCAATATCTGCAAAGGCGATGCAAATATTATTAAACTAGAGTGTTAGACATATAGGAAGGAAGGGTAGTCCCACAATGGTGTGGGCATTGGGCAGCGAGCATAGACTTGCCACATTGTCATTGTGTATCATCTTTCTAATATAGAGGCGGAGTCCATTAATATAATGGGGCCCACATTAATATAATGGGATCCACTTATATTAAAGAGATGATACGTAGTATAAAAATATAATAAGCCTTAATATTTTCCTTTAAAATTAAACAATAGAAAAAAGAAAGAGAAAGATATGCCACAACTTGTAGCTACCATACATACTGGGGATGAGAAGATGGGTCATGTCACTACCAATGACAGGACCCGTCCCGAATTTCTCGGAACCCGGGACGAATTCTGTGAAAATTCCGGCGTCACACCAATCTCGGGCCCACTAACTAAAACTGTAACCACCTTTTCCAAAAAGGGGTAAGGACAGGAGACTTTCTGCCAAAAACTCGGCAAAATCTCCCCTATAAATTGAACATTTCCCAAAAATTTCAACCTGCATAAAACACATTTAACAACACCAACCGGTAGCATACACAATATAGTCTCATACACCTCACATAATCGGCCTCCGGCCTTCAAATATTCCGAAACCAAACTACCAACAAGGCTCTTAAGCCAAATAATACTTTAAATAAGGCAATTACTAAACTTAAACATAATTATGAAAGCCGGATGCAAATTTACGTCATCTAACTTTCCCAATTTTAACATACGAGGTTTTAACCTCCTAACACAATCACATCTCGTTCTCACCCGAATTTTAGGACCAACGACAATGTTAGGTTTAACCCGCGGCTACACCTAGGCATTACCCTAGGCTACCTACGTACCTTCCCCGAGGGATCAAGCCACACTCCCTAAGACCCTTACTTTAAGTCACAACTCACCAAACAATATCTTTAATTTATCTCCCTAATAATCACATAATCTCCCCATACGCCGGAACATCCAACGCCACGTATGAGGTCTGTCAACACGCCGAAAAATCCAACACCACGTGTGACCTCTCATCTCATATCACATAATCTCCCCATACACCGGAACATCCAATGTCACGTATGGTGTCTATCAACACGTCGGAAAATCCAACGCCACGTGTGACCTCTCATCTCATATCACATAATCTCCCCATATGCCGAAACATCCAAAGCCACATATGGGATTTGTCAACACGCTGGAAAATCCAACGCCATGTGTGACCTCTCATCTCATATCACATAATATCCTCATACGACGAAACATCCAACGCCACGTATGGGGTCTGTCAACACGTCGGAAAATCCAATGCCACGTGTGACCTCAACAACATAGCATGGTACTTACACAGTGTAATCAAACATCTTTATATCTTAAATATATATATATATATACATATATAAATTTCCCCCAATAAATAATAATAATATTCATTTCCGTTTTCCCCTAGTTTAAGACAATAACTAATACCATAATCCCACCATATCAACATAACTCAACTAACGCTCAAGACCTGTCTCTATGGTCATTTTAATCCTTCTATGAAGGTAAGACTACCCCGGAAAACCCACGGTGAACCAAGGGTCAAGCTACCCAAACATGGTCAAACGGGCCCACGGCCCTCAAATTCCAATCCGAAAGTTCCTATGTGTTCTACAAGGCTTAGGACACACGTCCTACAAGTTTAGTCCAGATCGGACGGTCGGATCGCTCACGATCGCACGATCAGACGGCTACTAGCAGTCCTCGGGTTGGCATTTTCGGAGTATCCGGGACTCTGTTTTACGATCCGTCGAATCCTACACGATCCTAAGGATGTCCAGATCATCATACTTTAACTTCAAGACAATCCAATGGTTCAAACCTATTGAACCTAGATAATGCACAATAGGCGAAATCCGTTCGATACTTAAACAGTATCCAAATTGAAATCCGAGCACACATTCGCTTTCATGAGGACCAGGAGATCACCTCGGGACATCATGCCCATTTTCTACGGTGCCCATGCGCCGCCACACGCGCCTGCAGCTCGTGGGTGTCCAAAGCAATAACCCATAGCCCGAAAAACCCAAAATCAAGGCTCAAGACTCCTACCCTAGGTGTAACACCCTAATTTGAGTCACTTTTGTTCTGGGCATACCCCAAAAACTAACCGGAAGTGGCCAAAATCTCATCCTAAAATCTGATCGAAATCCAATTCGAAATCAGACAACCCTGGCTAAAAATTGATGCAATCTTATCCAACCATTAGCTAGATCATGAAGAAATGATGAATTTCCATACCTTGATCGCCAAAAATGGCGGATGGAGGAGAGAGATCGAAGCCGGCGAAGTTTCGAGCGAAAACCTGGCGTTTCTCTTCGTTTTTCCGGCGAAAGCCTGGCTGGGGTTGGAAGAGGACGGTGGCTCAGTCATTTTGGTACTGGCTCCGTCAACTTTGGTGGCTGGATGAGAGAACGGCCGGCCAAAACGTGGCCGGCTGTGCTGCCGTCGCAAGATAGTGAGGAGAGAGAGGGCGCGTGGAGGGGAGAGAGAGAGAGAGAGAAAAAAAAATCAGATTTTTATCAAACCCTTTTCACCAAAATTACGGTTATGCCACTGAGGGTATTTTGATCGTATCTCTCTCGTTACAACTCCAATTTGAGCCCACTACGTGTTTACGGACTCATCTCACTATGCTCTAAGCAACGGTATAGTTGAAATTTCCAAATTTCTTACCGGTCAAAAAGTCAACTTTAAAACCAATAAAATATTCTAGGGGCAAAATGGTCTTTTATCTGAATAAATTAATATTTACAAATTTATTTAGGACCGGGTCGTTACAACCAACATCACATACTCCAATTTCTGAAATTAAAATGAGATGGGATGGGAGGCCGGAGGAGGTAAGATAAACTCTCATGCAACAGGGATAATATTTTTTGCTATTCTCAACCAATAACACAATCAGAGGCGAAGACATGAATTTAAATAAGAGGGGGCACCCTTAAAAATTCAAACATTTTCTTTTATGACAAATCAACCTAGTTTTTAAGAAATCCCTAATTCCCTTTTTTTTTTAATGAATAACCTGTCACTCTTTTATGATAACAAATACATGCAATTCAAAAGAAATTTAGACATGAGAATGAAAGAGGAGCAAAGAAAATAGTGGACATTTAAGAATTTGTGAGAAATTCTATAATATTTTTACAATATCACTAACATATAATTGTTTATACAACAATATTTGAGAGGGGGCAGTGCCCACCCTGGGCATGCATTGGCTCCGTCAGTGAACACAATGACACATAAGATAACGTTTTCACATGTAATTGTGTTATTGGTTGGAGATAACAAAACAATGATATTCCCGTTATAAGAAAAAAAAATTGGGAGAAGGGAGGGAGAGATAGATCATAGATATCCTTTCCTTCCCTTCCCTATAATTGATTAGTTAATTAGTTAATGTTATGTATGTTAAATAGGTAATGCTAAGCACATAAACATTACAACATTTATATACCACACTATGTACCCCTGTCTAATAGAGGTAATATATCCTCCTCAACATCAAGGTCAAGGTCAAGGCCCTCAACCAAATTGCCTTTCTTTCTATCACTATTTGACCGCCCACTCGCCAACACCAACTCATCATCAACTCTGTGTTTGCTTTCTCCACGTCTTCTTAGCCTCTGCTTCTGGGAGAATTTTCCCTGCCTCGCACCCACCGCTATATATCTCTCTCTCCCTCAACGTACGGTACGCACGTAGTCAAGTCATGTACGAGTCATTTCCTTAGCCTTAGGACTGCCTTGAGTGATCATCATCTTTATATGCTTATTCCGTGCCATTTGTTTTTCCGGCGAACAATTAGAAGCCATCCCTAAGAGAAAGAGTGCCAAATTAAAAAGAAGACGACATTTGCATGAAACCTCTTAGATATATAATATAGGTATCCTCCACCGCTTCCTTCTCCTCAAAAGTAGCTCAGCTCACAAGAAAAAAAAGAAAATGAAAAAACCAGATAGTTGAAACAGAGAAGAAGATAAAAGAAGAAATAAACATCCATCAGTCATCAGTGGAGGAGATTCAAGAGATGAGAATTATATATATATGTTATAGTAACTTGGAAGGCTTCGTGTTGATGTTCCATATTCACAGAGTCTACTAGCTAGTAAAAGTTTCATCAAGAAAATAAAAAGGTTTGACCGAAGAAATCGAGGCCACCACAAGTACTCTCTCTCTCTCTCCTCCCATTTGTCATCTTTTAAAATTTCAGCTAGCATAATAATAGTATGATTATTCTTTTT